TCATTAGCTGGCACCAGGGTGTAGATTTGCTGCCCTCAGCCTTTAGTGTTTATTAACTATAAAAAAAGAGCCCCATCTGATTCACAACCAGCTAGGGGCAAGTACTGCTGATGGGAAGTAATTTCCTAGAAGAGCAGTAATGAAGAAAGTGAGGGGAGCGGTGTGTGCAGAAAAGAAAGCCACAAAGTTCATTTAGATTGAGCAACCTCTGCTGGACCAAAATGCAAAATCTAAGTGTCTGTCACATTACTGCAAAGCCTGACCTCAGTCTTACAAATAGCAAATAGCTAAACATATAAATGTGGAACAGGAGGGTTTATACTCTCATGTAGGTTTGAAAATTTCTACTCTTAGAACAGTGAAGGGTAGGAGCAAAGCTACAAATATTTAATAACAGGCCCCACTACTAGTTAGCAACAGTAAGCTGGTGGGCAGTCTGTCTATCAGTAGGGTGAGGAAGGAATTGCTTGTCAGGAATGGTCTTTTCAGTCTCACCTAAATACACTGGTAACATTTCAATATCTACAGATATGAAATGCATTCGTTTGTGCAGGGGGGAAAGATAGCTGTTCTGTCATTTATTCCCAGAGAGCAGAGGCTCTTTGCTTTTAGGGAGGGTAATTTTTTATGCTTAATTAGACGATAACCAGCCGGAAAAAAAAAGGTGATAAACAGACTACTGTGCTTAAAGACTAATAGGCTGAATATTTGGATCCAAATGGAGGCCTTATGTTGGTTTGTCTTTACTAGGTGAACATTTGAGGCTCAGAAAGTACACTTATTAGGCATGTTGGTTGGGCTTCCCTGGTGGCGCAGTGGTTAAGAATCCGCCTGCTAAGGTAGGGGACACGGGGTTCGAGTCCCGGTTCAGGAAGATCCCACATGCGGCGGGGCCCGTGAGCCATGGCTGCTGAGCCTGCGCGTCCGGAGCCTGTGCTCCACAATGGGAGAGGCCACAAGAGTGAGAGGCCCGCATACCGCAAAAACAAAAAACAAAAAAACATAGGAACGGCAAAACAAAAAAACATAGGAACCTGATGCAAAAGACCATTTTTCGAACTTTCTATATAATTGGAAGTTATTAGTGTTTAAAACTTGGTTTTCAAAACACAAAAAGAATTGGTTCTTATTTTTCCTTTACCAAAAAAAATCTCTTCTTTATTCAGTACAAAGTCTTTTCCTTTCTCTCCCATTCTCACCTTGTACCTGCTCAACCTGTAGGCAGGAGGCCCTCTTATAGGGTAAAATTTGAGGACCACTGTTGCCATAACTACGTCAAAATAGCTTTCCTTCCCTGTAGCCTGCTGTGGCTCCACTGTTGTTTCATACTTGGCCTGAATATTTTACTGTTAGAGTTATCCCTTTGATACAGAGGATAGAGATTTTTTTTTTCTCCAGAAAGCAACTATTTAAAGATACATATATGTCTGGGAGCACAGAGAGGCCCTCCCCAAAGCTGAAAGGGTAAAATATAGAATCATAAATTTATTGAGTGAAGCGTGAAAAGAGGGTTGGTAGCATTGGAGTTGCCGGTGGAGATGGGGAAATAGGAGTGGCTATCAATGGGAGGGAAAGTCCTGGGTTCAGTCTTTACACATTTATTTATTCATGCAGTATTTGTTGAGCATCTACACTGCCAGCCACTATGCTAGGTGGGAGTGGTTCACAGTGACCTCCTTGCCCTCCTGGAATTTATGGCCATGTTGGGACTGGGGCTGGCCTAGCATAGGTAAAGAAAAGTCTCCTTGAGTTTGGGATTAGCAGATACAAACTACTATATATAAAATAGATAAACAAAGTCCTACTGTATAGCACAGGGAACTATATTCAATATGCTATAATAAACCATAAAAGAAAAGAATATGAAAAAGAATATGTATATATATGTTAAACTGAATCATTGTGCTGTGCACCAGAAACTAACACAACATTGTAAATCAACTACACTTCAGTAAAAGGAAGAGAAATGGTACTCATATGTACCAAAGCACAAAGAAGTATCCTGTGATCAAGGAATAGGGAGAGGGCCTGTGTGTGGTGGAAGCTCAGTTGGCAAAGGTAGTTCAAGGTCAGGCTGGAGCCAGATCATGCAAGGCCTTGTAGCCATGCTAAAGATTTTGAACTTCATCAGGAAAACAAGGAGGAGTCGTTGAATAGCAGAGGTGTGACAAGATCAGTACATTTTAAGAAGATCCCTCTAGCTGCTGTGTGGGCAGTGGATTGACGGTGTTAGGGAAAGCCTGAATGAGAGCACACTTGGAAGTTAGTGCTGGAGTCATGGTGAGGGCTGATGACGGGTTAAACTGGAGCAGAATAGTGAGAGGGTGGGAAGTGGGGAGATTCAAGGTATGGTCTGAGGGTGGAAACAACATGGACTGAACGTGAGGGATAAAGGAGAGCGTGGTGTCAAGGATACTCTTAAGTTTCTGGTATAAGCAACTTGGTGGAGTGGTGCCAGCTGTTAACAGAGGAAAGGCAGATTTGGGGACCTATTAAGTGTGAGATGGTTTGTGCAGAATTGGTGCAAAGTCTACTGAAACCATGGAACACACCATGATAGGTTCTCTCCCTTTCACTTTCCTTCCCTCCAAATCTTGGTCTCTGTGTCTGTCCAGTAACATTGCCTCATTCCTTCAGAATTTTCCATGGGATGGGTGGAGGATGATGCTAACATTTTTGAGGTCACATCCTTACAGCTCTTGATCCAACAGGAAAGAAAGAACTTCCCTTCATTTCCAATTCAGAAAGTTTCAGAGAAGGACTCCAATTGGCTCCGCTCAGGTCACATCCTCTTCTTAGCCGATGGTCAAGAGAACGCAGCACTTAAATTGATCAAGCTTGGGTTCATGTCTCCCCTGTTTGCTTTGTTTGTGGAGGGGAAAGGGATACTATAGTTGGTAACCTCATCAGCACCTCTGGTGGGTAGACGGTGGGGAGGAGCAGTTCCCCAAAGGGCAGAGGCAGTGCTGGGCTGTCAGAACTAACAGATGTTTCCTGCCTCCTAAGCCTTCAGTGTTTCATTCTGCGTTAATCCTGCAGTAATACTGCTATCTAGAAATGCAGAATTTTCCAACTCTGAGCTGATGGGGTAGTTAAGGGCCTGGCTATGTTGATGAACTTATTGTAATTTTGAACTATAAAAACAATATATTTATGAAAATTTTGAAAAAAGGAAAAGCATCCACTATTTCACACTGACACCTTTTCATTTTGGGCATTCCTTTCCCACATTTATCCTTAAGCATATACCTTTCTTTTTTCCCTCCTCGCATGTGGGAATCTCAGTTCCCTGGTCTCATTTCCCCAACCAGGGATCAAACCCGTGCCCCCTGCAATGGAAGCGTGGAGTCTTAACCGCTGGACCACCAGGGAAGTCCCTTAATTCATTTGTTTATTATTTTTTAAAATATTTATTTATTTATTAATTTAGGTTGCGCTGGGTCTTAGTTGTGGCAGGCGGGCTCCTTAGTTGCGGCTTGCCGGCTCCCTAGCTGTGGCATGCACGTGGAATCTCGCTCCCCGACCAGGGATGGAACCTCTGGCCGTGGGGGCTCGAGTCCCAAACACTCTGCCACCAGGGAAGTCCCAGTTCATTTGTTTAAACATCAATATTTACATGAAAATAACTTGAATATGTAAGTTTGTTGTATTGGTATGCGCTGGGAAACTTGAGGGACAAGCTAGTAACTGTATTGCGAAATATTGCTTGAGCTCTTGTTATGGGCATGGTAGTCTGGAAGCTGATAGAGATACAGACATCATTAAAATCTATTTCTGGCCTTTAAAAGTTCATAATCTCATGACTTTTGATAAAATTAAAGTATTCCTCAATTGTAACTAAAAACAGTTATTAAATCAAAAGAGCAATATGGACATTGGAGGATATAAATACGGTAAAAAAAAAAGTATCTTTTATCCTTGCATAGGGAAGGGAAAGAAAAGTGAGGGGAGTGGAAGAGGATGGGACAGAAAAGGAGTGAAAAGGCTGGGGAAAGCGGGGCAGTAAGGCCTCTAGGTTAGTGTCACCCCATGCAATTGTTAAGTTAAATGTTGAAAGTGAGACCACACTTGAAGACACGCGTCCCTTTAAAAGGGAAGGTGGGTGTTCAGAGCAATTCTCATTTTGCCTAAAAGGGGCTGTTTCTCTCTATACTCTCTCCAGACAGAGCCAGATTAGCAGACATAGTCAGACTTTCTATAGAAACGTTTTAATCAAGAGTACCCTTCTCCCCAGAAAAATACACTCACTACCAATACAAACGGTATTCTAAGTTTAACCCACAGAGGACCATCCCTGGGCTCTCTGGGCTCGGTGGATCCAGGTTAGACAGGCCCCCAGTTCAAGAGTCGGCCTAACTGCTTCAAAGGTAGCAATACTCCCAGCTCCAAGACTCAGGAAGACCACGCCTCTAAATGTTTTGCAACCTCGTCCATTTCAGATTTTTCAGGGGTCCTGGGTAAATCGGTCTCACCAAGGATTCCGCCCCATCTGGCTGCTCCCATTTTTAAACACAGACCCGTGCGTGGGAGAGGCCATTATTTTTACGGGACCACTGTGCTTCTGGAGCAGCTAGGGACAGGGACAGGCAGAGCTGCTTTACCGCAACGCCGGGTCCATCCTTAGCCCGGGCTCCGCCCTCAGGCCGCCTCCTCATCCGAGCCCCCGCCCCTCCTCCCCTGCCAACCCCCGACCCGCTCCACCCCTTTGCTCTGAGAGCCGCTCGGCCACTACCCGCGACCGGCTTCCACCTGCCCATCTCGTGGCTCCGCCCCGGGGTCACTGGTCCCGCCCCCTTCCGAGGGGCCCAATGAGTGTGCCCGAGCACTCCTCAGCCCCCCCACTCAACTGGAATCCCCGCCCTCTGGCCGATTCAACCAATGAGAACCACAGGGTGTTCCTGGCCACGCCCACCACATCATCAGGTCACGCCCCCAGCGCCCGGCCCCGCGGGGCGTTGCCGTGGCCGCGCCTCCGCCGCCCGAGCGGAGCCAGATGCCGCCCCCTCCGCCGGTCCCTCCCCCGGCGGCCTGGCGCCTCCCTCCCTCCCCGCCGCGGTGACTCACTGAACGGGAGGCGGAGGCTGAGGCGGCTGCTCCCGTTGCTGCTGCTGCTGCTTTTGCTGCTGCTGCCGCCGCGGCTGCTCGGGCTGTGCGCGCCCCGGAACAGGCCGCCGCGCGCCGCTCTCGGACCCGCAGCCCCCGCCCGCCCGGCCGGGTCGGGCGGCCCAGGTAAGCGCCGAGGCCGGCCCTCGCCCTCAGCGCCTGGGCCCGCACCGCGCCGGGGCTCGGGGGAGCCGCCGGCCCTTTGTCTCTCGGGGAGGGGCCGTGGAGGGCGCCCCCGACCCCGCTCGGACCCACCGGCCGGACCCCCGGCACGGCGCCCTGGTCTGGGCCGGACCTTCTGCCCCACCTGGCCCCCGCTGCTCCTGCCACTCGCCGCCCCCGCGGTAGACCACCATCCAGCGGTCCTCAACCCCCCTTACCCCGGGGGTCGCCTCCACAGGTGTCCGAGCCATCCACTCTGTTGCTCACCCCACCGCGTTGGCGGGGTTGTCACCGTCTGTCGGCACTCCAGGTCCCGTGCCCTCTTGTCTCTTCCCTCACCTGCGCCCTGCTCTCAGCATCCTGACCCTCTGTATAGAGCACTCCCATATTTTCCCAAACTAAATGCTGCCAAGGTCTGGTCCCTGGGCCACGGTTCCTCTCTCTAGTCTGGTTGAACTGTCTTGTCCCCATCCCACCTCTCCTAGTGAGTCTTCCTAGACGGTGCACATTGTAGGCATACGTCTCACCTGTATGGCAGGCGTGTGTATGTGAACCTGCAAGATTAACCACTCAGAGCCCCAGACTGCACTTCTCGCCTCCTTTCCATCATCCCCACCCTGACCACTTTCCTTTTTCTTGAACCTGGTAACCGAGACACTTAGGTCTGATACCCAACCTCTGTTAGGCCCCGCATGCCTGCCTCTCTTGTGTGTGCTGAACTTGTCTGAACAGTACCTGCTGTCAGGTTAGCCCCTGGGAAGGCCCAGGAGGCCTGTGTTGGCCGCAGATGAAGAGTTTTATGAATAATGAGATGTGAGGCTGGCAGCACCTCCTATCTGAGAATCTAAGTACACTATAGCTGTTAATTACTTTGTCTCCTGTCACTCACACTACTTAGGGAAGTGTGCCTGGCCGACTGGCTGGGTAAATTGAGGCACAGGGTGTGTGGGCAAGGGACCTGGAGGCAAGTCAGAGTTTGTCCTGAGGTTCTGCTCCCAAGTATCTTGGCTCTTAGCTCCCTGCTACAACTACTGGGCTCTAGTTCCTGGCTTTAGACTCTAAGTGATACTGATCTCTTGGGCCATTAAAGTGTCCAGAGAGACCAAGTTTCCTTTGATTTAAAGCAGGACTTTGAATTATAAATAAAGGTGCTGGCTGTTAAATGCCAGTGTGTCATTCATGGTTTCCTGGTGGAGTGAGTGGTCCTTGTGTATGTGTCAGGCAGCATTCCAAGCACCGGGGGCTACAGTGGTGAAGAGAGACACAGCCCCTGCCCTCCTGTAGCTGACCTTCTGAAGAGGAGGGATTAAACAAGTAAGTGGACAAAATAATTTTAGTCATGGTAAGTGCTGTGAAGGTGGGAAGAGCCAGTTTGGATATTATTCCAAGTGCAGTTAGAAACCACAGGTGGATTTTAAGTAAAGAGATGATAAGATCTGATTTGTTTTCAGAGATCATTCTGGCTGCTCTATTGAGACTGGATTGTAAGGAGCAGGGATACTAATTGGGAGACAGACTGTTGCCACTTCCGGGCAAGTGATGATGGTGGCTTGGACCAGAGTAGGGGTAGCAGAAGTGAATAGGTAAAACCAGTCTGCTCCCCCTTGAGAGAGGCTCAGAGCTTTAAAGCAAAACTTCAGGGAACACCGACTTCGAGTTATACTTCTGGCAGAGAATTTCTAGACCTGACCAAGCTCAGGTTTAGCTCAGCAAACCTTTCTCAGCACCTGCTGTGGGCCAGGTACTGTGCTAAACTCTAGAGATACTGATGTGAACAGGGTGAATAAGGAGCAGTCTCCACATTCTAACAAGGTGCTCACAGAAACGTCACCCACCCCCTCCTTGAGGGAAGAGGGTTTGTAGGCTTAAAAATCAGTTCGAGGTGGAGGAGGGCAGAAGACACTGGGCTTCATTCCCACATCCGGCTGCATTATTTAAATGAGAGCGTTATTGCCCTGCCTCTGCTGTAAGATGTTGCCCAAAGATATTGGGACTGATCTCATGGTGGGTGGGAGAGCAGCTCAGTGGCCATGAACTTGAACCATTAACCAGAATAAAACTTGATCTCTACGTTGCTCCAAGTCTGGGCTGTCAGAACACATCCGAGTTAAAGGACCGTGGGGCCGGGCCCCTCTTACGGTTGGGCACCTGTTGTCCCTAGAGAGTGAGTAACTCTTTTGAAATCCCATATCTGTTTGTACATTTGCTAATGGCATCCGTCACTTTCTACCTCTCAGCTTCGTATGCACTTGCATGACCCTAAGCTTTCTGAGGCCAGGGTCTCTATTGGATTCAGCTTTTCCATCCCTCACAGCATCTAGATCCTGCCCCAAAAGTACACTCATCAAGTACGGGTTGACTTGCCTGGGTGTCTCACAGCACCTAAAACTAGAGCCCAGGAATCCTGACCCTGTCCATGTCTTTTCATTAGATTCCTCCTCAACCAGAGTGCACCACGGGGGTCAACCCAGCAGACTCCATGTCACTGAGCTCACAGCCCTGCCTTGATGGGTCTGCTCTCTCTCCAGCTCTGCCTACAAGGAATAGCTGCTGAGGGTGCTGACCAAGTAGTTACTCGACACTCGGCAGATAGGAAGCATAGCTCTTAATCAGAGCATGAACTTCGTACCAAGACTGTCTGGGTTTGGGTCTTGGTTCTGCCATCATGAGCTTCGTGACCTTCAGCAAGTAATTTAACCTCTCTGTGCCTCAGTTTCCCCATCTATAAAATATTAATACTTCCTTCATGGAGTTGTTGGGAGGCTTAAATTAAGTAATACCTATTAGATGCTTAGAACAGCACTGAGCACCTTGCTATGGCTTGGTTGAAGTGGTAGCTGTTATTCCACCATTATTTATTTATCTGATTTTTATCTCCCATCAGAATTTATTAGGGCAGAATGGAGTTGTTGGGAGGCTTAAATTAAGTAATACCTATTAGATGCTTAGAACAGCACTGAGCACCTTGCTATGGCTTGGTTGAAGTGGTAGCTGTTATTCCACCATTATTTATTTATCTGATTTTTATCTCCCATCAGAATTTAAGCTCTTTTAGGGCAGAGATTTTGTCTTTTTTTTTTTTTTGGTCTACAGTTAGACTTTGTAGGCACGCAATAAATATTTCTTAAATTGAATGGCTTATTGAACACCTACTGTGTGCCAGGCACTGTTGTAGATGCTGGGGATATAGCCAAGAACAAGATCACCAAGTTGCGTGATCTAATGAAGTTTACATTCTAGTGGGAGAGACAGACGGTAAACAAGTACACAAGTGAACAAAATAATGTAGGATGGTGAAAAGAGATGCACGGAGAATAAAACAGGGCAATGAGATGGAGAGTGCCTGGGTCATAATTTTAGCGAGCTCTGAGGAGGTAACTTTGAATGGAGACCCAGCGGATGGGCAGAGAGGACAGTAGAAGCAAGAAGCCTATGGCGGCTGGAGTGTACTGAGTGAGGAGGTGGCAGGAGTTGGGTCTGTGGCCACAGTGAGGAGTTTGGATTTTACTCTTCAATTCTGAACAGTGGGAGGTCACTGCACAGGAACCTTTCCTGGGGGTCCATCCTAGGAGAAAGACCTGGATGCTTGGAAGAGCAGTGAGCAGGCTCTCCTTGTCCTGGGAAGGCTTTTGGAGGCTATCAGTGTTGCATTTATTCCCCTCAGGTTTCTCATGTCTCTGACCTAGGTACCCAGGAGATGTGGGATCCGTATGCTAACTTAAGGAAGTTCCAGGTGTGTGTGTCCGTGTGTCCTGCAGATTCCATCAAGCCACCTTTCTCCCCTGAGTATGTAGGTAATCGGTCAATGTTTCTTGAGTTGAATGAATGAGCATCGCCAGCTCTTAGCATCTTGTCCTGTACAGTGGCTTGTCCTGTTCTCTGCCTAAGGAAAAGCTTCTTGTCATGGTAGTGACTCTGGTGTAACCTTGGAGTTTTGCTGCTGTTCCTGTGTGCATCAAGGACCCCCACATACTTGTATGTCACAGTGTCTTCACAGTGTTTTGTTTTGTTTTGTTTTTTTGGCTGCACCGCTCGGCTTGCAGGATCTTAGTTCCCTGGCCAGGGATTGAACCAGGCCCTCGGCAGTGAGAGCACGAGAGTCCTAACCGCTGGACCGCTGGGGAATTCCCTGTCACAGTGTCTTTGTTGGAAGTGTACCAAGATTGACTGGTCAGCTTTCCTCCCCCCCGACTCCATCCCCATTTCTCTTCCAGTCCCCTGCTGAGTACCACCAGGCCACACTGTCACCTCTCAACACTTCCTGTATCATTACTCGATCTACACTCCTGCACAGCACTTAATCCAAGTATGGTGGTACCTAGAAATCATTGGCTGTCTTTAGTCTGGGCTGAGTGGAGTTGGGAAGCTCAGCAGAAATGGAGTTTCAAACCCAGGAGTTCAACTCACCAGGAATCCAAAGTTGGCCTCTTCAGACTGAGGGCAGTTGGCCAGCCTTTCAAATCCTCACTCAGGCATCCCCTTGTCTGTCAGTGTCCGTGATGCCAACCTGCTCTGCTAACCTTGAGAGGCCAGTGAGAGTTGGTAGGAATCAAATAGGACTTTTGTGCTGCAAGTCACTCTCAGGGTTGTGGCGTATTTCAGTGGCCGAATCGGAAATGCTTGTTAGTCACGTGTCGCCTGTCTCCTTGTAAAAACTAAACCCGGAGTGGGTGCAACCTTTTTCTCTTGTTACTGTTGTTCTTTTTTTTGTTTTTGTTTTTTTTCATTATGAGGGTGATACGTACCCATTTAGAAAATGAGAAAATGAATGATGACATTTTCTGTACTTTTTCTCATTTAGTCTTCACTGTAGTTTCTGAGATAAGTAGCATTATTACCATTTTGCATATTCAGAAGCTGAGGCCTGGAAAGGTTAAGTACAATAAGCTGTTTGAAGTGAAGATAGTTGGGAACAAAGTCAGGATTCAGACCCAGTCGGTGGGACTCCTGTGTGTGAGTTCTGG